CCCCATCATCTGCTTAGTGCTTCCCAGCATTATCGTGATGGTGGACAGAGCGTCCCATGATTGCCCACTATCTAGCCTCTACTTTCCACCATCGTTGCCACTTAACCCATCATCGGTACACCACACCACCCAGCATGTCCTGGCATATCCACCATAACTTACACTACGTCCCGCCATATCATCATAATTTCCACCCTACCCACTATTATTTCCACTAAGCCCACCGTTTTTTCCAGTATCCGCCATGGTACTTTTTCCGATAGGGCAGCATCACGATGCGCAAAGCAGGTCATGTGTTTGCGTCGTCATTGTGTACATGTCTGCCTACGACATATTTGACAAAAAAATGGTAGAAGTCCAGAATAGCACCCGAGGACTATATCACTATAGTAGACTACTCAGCTGCAAGCAATATTTAAATTTTTTGCTTCATCATTTATTGTAAACGTTTCACTTTTGTCCTTATTTTTGTCGTTGAATTTGCAATTTCCGACACAAACACTATCTTTTATTGATTGATTGATTGATTGATTGATTGATTGATTTGTGGGATTTAACGTCCCAAAACCACCATATGACTATGAGAGACGTTGTAGTGGAGGACTCAGTAAATTTTGACCACCTGCGGTTTTTTAACGTGCACCCGAATCTGAGTACACGGGCCTACAACATTTCCGCCTCCATCGGAAATGCAGCCGCCACAGCCGGGATTTAATCCCGCGACCTTCGGGTCAGCAGCCGAGTACCTTAGCCACTAGACCAGCGTGGCGGGGCACAAACACTATCTTAGTAGTACGCTTAATTGTCTTTTATGTAAGCCTACATCACGTTGCGGAACCCAGTTTACGCGTTTGCTTTATCATTGTGTACATGTCATGCATACGTGATGTTTCAAAGCATGAGAAATTATAGGAAGTCCTGATCCATAACTATATAACTTCGGCTAAAATAATTTTCTGTTGAATTCGGCGTGCATAACATTTTTGAGTTCTTATACTCATCACCTAAAATCAGCAACTGATAATATATAATAACTAGGGTAACAAAAATACCATAATACTATATTTTGGGAAAAAATCACCATCAACTTGCCAGTGCCCTCGAATATATTTGTGCCATGTGCGTAGGAGAAGAAGAAGAACAAGCTGTCATGAACTACGTTACAAGAGGCGACAAGTTCCAGGCGCTGCCCGTCGTCTTCGGCACAGTACCGGAGCCCAGACAACACAAAGCGGGCCCTTCATGCAACGCTGAGGTGCGGCCCCGGACCGCATTTCATCACTTTCGGCCACGATACCCTCGCCTGAGGGCCCGCCGCAAGTGGACACCAAGGTATTCACCCTTGGGCTTGTTCTTGTTCGTGCCTTTCCTGGGATGCTGTGCGCCTGAGGCGACGGGGTCGTGCCGGCGACCCTGCGGGAAGGCACGAAGGAATCGCAGGGCGATGACCATGCAGTTCGAGTGGGACGGCTGCACATTCTACCGGTACATACCAGTAGAGACGAAGAGAGCCACTGGCAGTCACATGACCCCAGGTCGGTCATTCATACCACTTCTGGGGTTCTGCCCCGCAGCGGTGGTCTAGTGGCTAAGGTACTCGGCTGCTCACCCGCAGGTCGCGGGTTCTAATCCCGGCTGCGGCGGCTGCATTTCCGACGGAGGCGGAAATGTTGTAGGCCCGTGTGCTCAGATTTGGGTGCACGTTAAAAAACCCCAGGTGGTCAAAATTTCCGGAGCCCTCCACTACGGCGTCTGACATAATCATATGGTGGTTTTGGGACGTTAAACCACACATATCAATCAATCATCTTCTGGGGTTCGTCACTCCGACGTTAGAGTGGTGCCTGAAGACATCATCAACTTCGACCCGCCGAAGGAAGCAGCAGCTAGTCTCCCCTTCCCCTTTGGCCCCGAAGCCGCTGTGGTCGCCGAGACCGCTACATCCAGACAGGTCAAGAGGCGGTCCGGGGAGCAGTCAGCAGTTGGCTGTGGATGTCGCAGCGGCTGTCATTATGGGTGCCACAAGTGGCGGAGCGGGACCTTGCCAACCCAAGGAACCAAATCTGAGTGTCCTGCACAAGAAAAACGAGAGGCCTACGAGCCACATAAACAGGCCGCCATTTCAGGCGGCAGCTTTGAGCAACTCACCACCAGGGCACCTTTGCCTCTACCGCGATGCACATGCACGGACTTGGACATGCATCTGTGTACCGGTCCAACGACGCTCGTTGCAATCTCAAGACTCACATACGAGCCACTTCGCATAAACAACATGACCTTTACAAAGTCTTCATCAGAACGGTCAAGTGGAAACTCGTCGTACAACGGCGGCAACAAGGCGTTTCGCCAAGCTGCGCCATTAAGGAACCATTCTAGGTAACTTCGTTCGAAAGTACTCAAAGATTTCAACTTTCCTAGCAAACAGAACACGGCCGTGGTGCGTCGATTGATTGTAAGGGTATATATATATATATATATATATATATATATATATATATATATATATTTTCCGTAACCAGGGAGGCTCCACTGAATGTGGGAAATGTAGAAACCGAATGTTTAAAATAAAGTTAAAATGTTTTATAGGAGCCACACGAGTGCTATTTCAATAGTTAAGTTTCTTCCAATGCAATCACTTAGATCATACCCAAAAGAGGGATTGGCCACACTACCATATAAAGGAATTGAGAGGCTATGCCACGCAATAAAATAAATTCAGACAAGACTGAAGCGCGTGCAAAAAAGTGGAAAAGCAAACAGTATTCGAGAAGCCAGCGATAAATTATATAACGTTCAAGGGGAAAACCTTGCCGATTTCCTTAACGAATTTGCATAGCGTCTACAGAGCAGTACTATGGCCTGCGGCTTACACTAAACTGCCGGACTCGAAACAATAACTAGTTATATGTATCAAGTGTTAACCACAGAATACCGGTCGGCCTGGCGCACCACACATTGACGCGTGTGCACCGGTGGACAAAAACGACAATAAGGGGATTTGGTAGACACCAGGTAGTGGATCTCTGGCTGATCGAGGACAAAGAAGGTGATCTTGCTGTTCGGCTGCGAGTATGCCTAGGTCTCCCTAAGTTTGTTGCGAACAATGTTTTGTACCAGGAGTCACGCTTACCAACCTTGCCTTGTTGATTCCGTATCCTGACAATTCAGGCTTATCTAAAATTTTATAGCTATTTGGTAAGACGATCAGAATATGTATTCATTAACGACCCAGACTCTTTCTTTCTTGCTAATTGGCCACGTTTTCATACTCCACAAATTACTTTTGTCCAGAAGCAACTAGACAAAATAAACTTAAAAATTTAAGATATACCAGCAGTAAACGAACAAAATCAAAATCTCATCATAAAATATGATGAAATTTTTCTCTGTAAGCCTAAATTTCAATCACACCGGGTCCTAAGTAGCCGCTTGCAAGATTACCTTGCACACGTGGAAACAAATAAAGTAATAGCCACTGATGCTTCAGTAATAGATGAGAAGGCAGGAGTAGGTATTTACTCTACTTCACTTGGCTGGTTGTTTTCAGCAAGACTACTAGCTGCAAGACTTTGGACGCCCACACTGCAATAATAATTACAGACTCCTTTTCCGTATGTACATCACTGACAGCTTCATCTGAATCAGATGTCTTAAGGACCTCCCTTACGCTAATTCCTCCACAGCTTAAGCTCTTAAAATTATTATGGGTACCTGGACATAGCGGGCTAGAGTTGAATGAAATGGCGGACTCATTAGCTCAAATGGCGTTAAATTGCCCAATACTTTCTGTGCTTCCGGTGCTGCCCAGTATAACGGCTATAAGATATCGAAAATTTGCACTCAGGGCCGATGCCAGCAAATCAGTAACACCATGCACTGAATTTAGACATTTGAAATATCGATGGAAATCTGGCTGGTGTCATACTAGACAACTGGAAGTCATGTTAACAAGACTGCGATGTCTTGTGCCCCCTTTGAAACTATATTCACACAGGGCTGGTCTGGGGAAATCTTTCCTATGCAGTTTTTGTACAGATCTGGAATCAGTAGACCATTACTTTTTGTCATGTCGCCGTTACAGTCTACTAAGAAAACGACTTCTTGCTATCCCATTTGCTAACCTTGGGCTGCCCTTCACTATTGAGTATATACTCTCCTTTGGTGCTTCGGTTCTGGGCTACAGCTACAGCAATGCCTTTAATGCCGTTTAAAGTTATCTTCATGAAACAATACGAATGTGGCTCTAAATTAAAATTTTCATATATGTTATTATAATATTATTAGGCAAATTCTTAAGATCAATTTTAAATGCTTTCATAATTAGTACAATTTCCATTCGAGATATATATTATTCTGCCTGGTCGAAATGGCAAAAAAAAATATTGCACTCTTTCAGTATTTACGTGTGCTTTATCCTCGTCCTGTTAGGACTGGGTATCATTCGAGAGGCTTTCCATTTCATATCCTAAATTCTTGGCCAATCCCCCTGAGTGGGCAAGAGCCATAGTTGAGGCATCATCATCGTCATCATGTTCGGCTGTTTAGAATCGCTTAGTCAACGTCTATCTGCCTTCTGTTTGCGTTGTACCGCGACAATATGACGAAATGACGCAAGACGGCAGTGCAAGAACACCAAGTGATGTATTGTTGCTAGTTCACTGCAAACTGCACATATTTTAGTTAATTATAAGCCAGATTTGGGAAGATAATTAAACCGAAGAACTTACTGCAAAAGCTTGTGATTGTCGCGTCGGATTGAGATCGATGTCTTGTGGCTGGTGCCGCGCCAGCGTGGCGGAGCACGAGCGGAGAGAGACGATACGCCGACAGCTGCTCAGCTAACGAAAAAGGGGCCTCCCACTTTATTCGGGGCAGAATATATACAATCTCAGGGGCGCCACCTGCTAGTGGCAGCCGAACTAAATGACTGAAGGGTGGCGACCTCTACATCTCCCCCCTTGAAGACCAGACGGAAGACGGAGGACGCCAGACACTGCACATCACAAGTTCAGGCGGTTCGGAGGCACAACACGGCGGCCACTACGTGTTCGTGTCACACCATCACTGCGGTCACTGTCTGCAGGGGGCAGTCCAAGAGAATCGGGTGGTTGCACTATAGTAGTTCGCTGGGGTTCCAGAGGGGGCAGTGTTCGCTGTGGCTCCTGCTCCTCGGATGGCGGTGGTTCCACCCTTGGCGCAGGAGGTGCAAAAGGCACTAGGTGACGCTGGTTGCGCTGTAGGACGCCACCCTGCTCCGTTTCCACGACATAACTTCGTGGTCGGCGTGCTGGGCTATGCACTGTAGCTTTGACCTGATCAGGTCGTACCCAGACACACTGGCCTGTTCGGAGCGATGACAGATCTTGAGCTCTGTGATGCCTGTTAAAGTCAGCGGCCTGTTTCTGCTTCTAGGCTGCATCTTTTCTCCTCACGTCTTTCCTCGACGGCCAGTGAGGACATAACTGGGAGCCCTGTTTCGGCACTTTGGTTCGGAGTTGTCGTCCCATCAAGAGCTGGGCCGGGCTGAAGCCATCGACTCCGGGGGTGTCCCGGTAGCTGAGCAAGGCCAGATGAGGGTCTGTTGCTTTGCGAAACAACTCCTTGATTGTCCTGACCATTCTCTCCGCCTCTCCGTTCGATTGCGCATAGTGCGGGCTGCTGGTGGCGTGGTCAAAGCCGTAAGATGCCGCCACTGCTGCAAACTCGCGTGAAGAGAACGGTGGACCGTTGTCTGATCTGACTTCTCGCGGAATCCCATGCCGGGCAAAGATGCTTTTGAGAAAGTCGATGACTGCCTGAGCCGTTGTGCTCCGCAAGGTTACAACTTCAGGGTACCTGGAGTGGTAGTCCACCACCAAGATGAATGTCTGGCTGCGGAGGTGGAACAGGTCCACGCCGACAAGTTCCCAGGGACGTCCAGGTAGGACCGTGGAGACCAGGGGCTCTGCAAGGTTCACCCGAGTGGAAGCACATTGCTCGCAGTTAGTTACCAGAGAGGTGATGTCTGCCGAAATGCCAGGCCACCAAATGGACTCTCAAGCGAGAGCTTTCGTCCTGTTGATGCCTCGGTGTCCTTCGTGCAACAGCGTCAAAACAGCCGGCCGAAGAGAATGCGGGATGACCATCCTGGTGCCTTTCAGTAGAACACCGTCGCAGACAGAGAGCTCGTCTGCTGCTGAGGCATACTGGGAGAGGTGCAGTGGCAGTTTGGACTTCTGTGGCCAACCATTCTGGCAGAAGGAAGTGAGGGCTCTTCATTCGCCATCGGACTCTTGTGCTTGTCGCACGTCCTCTGGGCGTAGTGGCAAGGCTTCCGACATGCCGCTGACCACTTGAGCCGCAAACAATTCCACGGTGTCCAGGGGAAGGGACGACTTTTGGGTGATGCGTGACAAGGTAGCTGCCGTAGCTAACAGCTTTCCTGGCACGTGGAGCATTCGGAACTGTTATCGCATGGTCTTTAACCTGAGCCTCTGTATGCGAGGCGGCAGCATGTCCAGCTCCAGCTTGCCGAAGAGAGAAACGAGTGGTAGGTGATCTGTCTCAACATCGAAGGTGATGCCGCGGACGAATTCGTCAAACCGTTGGATAGCCCATGTTGTTGCCAACGCTTCCTTTTCTGTCTGGCTGTAACGCTGCTCTGTCTCGGTCATTGATCTCGAAGCAAACGCAACTGGGCGGCGCTCTCCAGAGGGCTGTGTCTGCAGCAAGACTGCGCCCAGTCCGAATGAGCTTGCGTCAGCCGAAACTGTGGTGGCGTGTGATGGATGGTACTTGGCCATGCAACGGTCTGATGTCAGGAGTTCCTTGATTTTCTCGAATGCAGCATTTTGTTCATGCTGCCAAACCCAAGTCCCAGACTTGTTTAGAAGTGCTCTGATGAGAGCTGTGACCTCTGAGATGCAAGGCAAAAACCGGGCAAGATGGTTCAACATTCCGAGCAGTCGCCGGACACCTGCGATGTCTGTTGGAGCCTCCATGGCTTTGATTGCTTCGACCTTGTCTGGACTTGGCCTGATGCCTTGTGCTGAAATGATGACTCCTAGGAAGGAGACTTCGGAGACACCAAAACGACACTTGTCTTGGTTCAACGTGATGCCTGCTTTCGCAAGGCGTGACAGCACCTGGCTCAGTCTGGCATCGTGCTCCTCGCGTGTGCGCCCAAAGACCAGAATGTCGTCTATCATATTGGCGACTCCTTCCTGGCCCTCCAGGATCCTGGCCATCTGTTTTTGGAAGTACTCCGGCGCGGAGGTGATGCCAAAGGGGAGCCGGCAGAAGCAGTATCGGCCAAATGGGGTGATGAACGTTGTGAGCTCTTGGGAGTCTGCAGATAGTTTAACCTGATGAAAACTGGCTGTTGCATCCAGCTTGGAGAAAACTGTTGCGTCGCCAAGGAGGCCAAGGACTTGCTCTACAGTTGGTAGGATGTGGCGTTCCCGAAGGACAACCTTGTTGAGCTGAGTCAAGTCAACGCACAGCCGGTAGGAACCATCGGCTTTCCGTACTACAACGAGACCAGAGCACCACGGGGTTGGATTGTCGACCCTGCGGATCACGCCTCTTTCCTCCAGTTTGTCAAGCTCGTGACGGACGACCTCGCGTAGCGGGATGGGAATCCTGCGAGGCACACTTACGGAGAAGGGTACGGCGTCAGGTTTCAGAAGGATAGTGTACTCGTCCTTGAGGGTGCCCAATCCCTGGAAGAGCTCAGCACGCAATGTTGCTTTCGGAGTCTGAAGTTCGTCGAGAAACTACAACTTCCAGAGCTTGAAGCGCCGGCCGTCCAAGAAGAGGTACGGTGAGAGACTGGATTACGTACAAATGCTGAGAGCTCATTTTCCCGTGCCACCGAAGTCTCGCCATGTACGAACCCAGCACGCGCAGCGGCTGACCGCCAGGTCCGGTGAGCAGGCTGTTGACGGGGTCGAGCTTGGCCGGCAATGCAGGGAAGTCGCTCGGAACGGCGGACACCTCGGCTCCGGAATCGACCTTGAACTGCGCTGTGTAGTTGTCAACGGTGACGTCGACGAACTTTGCCGCGGCGAGCGTCCCGACAGCGTGTAGCTGAATGGAGCCGAGCTTCTGTTTTGCCTGCCGTGCGCGGCACACTTCCGCAAAGTGTCCTTTCTTTTTGCAGAAGTTGCAGACGGAGTTTCGAGCAGGGCAGTTAGAACGTGGATGTGGCGCGCGGCCGCAGAATTCACATATTGACGGCTGGCAGGAGCGCTCTGCTTTCCGCGGGGGCGAAGGCCGCTTATCGTAGTTGCGGCGGCGAGAGGCGAACTTCTTATCTCGTACGGCGTCGAGGTGTAGCTCGCGGGAGTGCTCTGCGCAGTTTTGAGGCAACGTTTTTTCTTTGTCAGCGTCTTCTGATTGACGGGCCTGCATCCATGCTTCTTTGAGCGTCAACTTCGCGTTCCGGCAAAGCTGGTCCGAAAGGCGCGAGTCGCGGAGGCCGACGACGAATCTATCGCGTACAAGCCTTTGCTCCACCTCAGCTGACGGATAGTTGCACCGCTTCACCATTCTACACAGTTCGGCGTAGTAGGCGTCGACGCTCTCATCGGGTAACTGAACACGCCGGTGAAACACGACGACTCGTACAGTTCATTCGCCGGATGCACGAAGTGGTAGGTGAAGCTGGCGGCAACCGCTTGAAATGAGGCGAGTGATGCGGTGTCGAGCGAGAACGTCTCCAGAAGTGGGCGGGCCTCCGGCCTCATGCAGTACAACAACGAGCGTACCTGCATGTCGCCGGATGCTTGAGTCAGGCCGGAAACGACAGCGTAGTCCTCGTAGCGGCTGAGCCATGCTGGCCAGGTTCCCGGGTGCACAAATTGGAACGGTGCGGGCAGGCTGGAGGTTGAGGTTGAGCTTTTCCGGCGCCATAGTCGTGCGGTACGGGCGAGTTCGCGATGAGGGGGCGTTACGCAGCCACTTCTGACACCATGTCTTGTGGCTGGTGCCGCGCCAGCGTGGCGGAGCACGAGTGGAGAGAGACGATACGCCGACAGCTGCTCAGCTAACGAAAAAGGGGCCTCCCACTTTATTCGGGGCAGAATATATACAATCTCAGGGGCGCCACCTGCTAGTGGCAGCCGAACTAAATGACTGAAGGGTGGCGACCTCTACAATCGAAAGGCATTTTACAGTGTTTCTCCAGAATGCCAAATGCTAGAAACTTGGTGATAGAATGAGAGCGCTTTCTCTGTTTTTTTAAATAGCAGGCACTTGAATTTTCCCTACAGTAATAAAAAAATTGGGGAGTTACACGTAATACAGGGTCATTTGTAGATGCCGTACAGCGAGAGAATTGGTAGCTTCCTTTTGGAAAATTCCAGTGTGCCCGGGGTCTCATAGAACCCTCACGTTCGATATGCTACGTGGTGCAAGATACCAAAGAGGTCACTGCCTCGGTGACAATAAATATGTAGAATATGTCTAAAAAAGAACAAAATTCACATTAGAACACCATATTCAAGACATTGTGTACTACGATATATTAGAATATACTTATTTGAGATAAGCAGCAAAACCCTCTAGTACACCTGTAGTATGACATTCACTTAATAAATAAACTGCCACTATGGCCAACACTTGGCAAAAAAGGCCTCATTTATAGCGGTAACAGTCCCCAGGTGAGCCAGTTTCAATGAGCGATAACACCACCCTGTAGGAAAGCAGGACGCGTTTCGAACTTTAAGAGAGAGCTTTAAAATAGGCTGAACAAAAAATACCGTGCTGAACCACACAATATCTAGTTTCAATTTATGTGCTTGAAAACACAATGTAAACGTTTCCGGCTATCATGAAGGATCAAACGTGCAACTTGTGAAATCCCATTCGGACACACTAACCACTGCGCCATACCCACATGACGTATTTAGCGTGGTAAATAGCTAGTTGACGTACAAACTTACGGTTCAACTTCAGTTTTGATTGTCGGGTACTCAACATAGACGAGACGTGCACTTGCTACTAAAATTTGCACATTTAATAAACAACTGCAACTGCTGCCTGTAACGATTGTCACTGCAATAATGGCTTCAGCGCTATGTTTTTGTTACAATTCACAAACGCAAGAAAAACAAAAAACAAGTTGACTGGGGAGCAGCTACAATTTACCGGTGGGGTCTGCCAAGTAGCTTTATGACGCCCCTAGGCTCATTACAAAGATACACCTACCTAATTTAATTGATTGAGTATTGCGATCCTTTTCGCGCAACGTAGAGGGTAGTCGTACCAGCGCAGTGCTGTAGCTGTTTCGCTATAGCAACAACTACATAACGAATTGGCCAAAACGAATGCAGTGTGCCGGAAACATTAGGCTATCATATTGATTCCTCAAGCATACGAATTGTAAAGTCTGTGTTCTCGGGTAAAAGCTAGAGAAGTGCCAGCGAGTGCGACCAGCAGCTGTCGGTGAGGGGAGACGTACGTTCTCTGGGAGTGCTGGAATCGCGTCGCACCGATGTTTGTTGCTTCTTGCGCGGATGCCCTACAAAATGAAAATGCCTAATTTAGGGTAATTGATGCCATGGCTGTGTTGTATTGTCATTCTTAATCGTATTAATTGTGTATTCTGAAACTCAGAAGCACGAATAACACAATTGTACGGGCTCGGCCGGTAGGCCTAACCTTTGGTGGAAATCTTGGTGGTCGAACATGTAGTGTACAGATCGAAGCTTTGTACACTAAATAAATTGCCTGCCTTTATAAGCCCACTTGTCATCTGCTTACTGCTTCCCAGCATTATTGTAATGGTGGGCAGAGCTTCTCGGCTTGGTACACCATGTGACCCGCCATCACAAGCAGCATTCATCGTCTGCTTAGTGCATCTAAGCATTATCGCAATGGTGGGCAGAGCATCCCTTAATTGCCCACTATCTAGCCTTTTCTTTCCACCATCGTTTCCACTTTACCCATCTTCTGTACACCACACCACCCAGAGTGTCCCGGCATATCCACCATAACTTACACTACGTCCCACCATATTCATCATAATTTCCACCATACCCACTATTATTTCCCCTATGCCCACCGTGTTTTCCAGTATCCACTATGGTAGTTTTTCTGATAGGGCAACATCACGTTGCGCAAAGCAGTTCATGTGTTTGCGTCGTCGTTGTGTACACGTCTACCTACGACATATTTGACAAAAAATGGTAGAAGTCCAGAAGAGCGCCCAAGGGCTATATCACTATATAAGACTACTCAGCTGCAAGCAATATTTAATTTTTTTGCTTTATCAATTATTGTACACGTTTCACTTTTGTTCTTATTTTTGTCGTTGCGTTTGCAATTTCAGACAAAAACACTATCTTAGTAGTACGCTTATTTGTCTTTTATGTAACCCTACATAACATTGCGGTAGTTTATGCGTTTGCGTTATCAATGTGTACACGTCATGCCTACGTGAAGTTTCACAGCATGA